CAGGCATGCTGGTACACACATGTGGTCCTAGCTGCTCGAGAGGCTGAGGTGGGAGGATCTCTCGAGTCTGGGAGTTTGAGGCTGCAGTGAGCCGTGATCGCACCATTCCACTGGCACTACAGCCTGAGTGACAGTGAGTGAGACCCTGCCTCAAAAAAAAAAAAAAGACCCTTTCTACCCTCCAAGCAAGCCACCATCATTTTAAGTAGAAATAACCACGTGGCATTCCATATATACTTTTAATCTTGTGAAATATTTTTGTTTCTAGATTAAGAAAACGCTATCACAAAGTCTCTGTGTGGTCAAAGGTATCAGCCACTTACAGCGTTCAATGTGGTAATGAGGAAAGGCATAATTTCCCGTGGTTTGACAATAACGTGACAGGAATAGTTCCAACTGCTTTGAATAGATTATTGTCCCCCTGCATTGAAGTTCCAAACTGTGGGATCCTACGAAACAAATGTGACCAGCCCTCAGCCAGCCAGGTGCTGTGCTTATGAATACGTGTGGTCATCATTTTGCTAGGTTCTCTGAGGGGTTTCAAAATTTAAGCAACCATTTCAGCCCCCAACAATCATATAGTTGAACTGGAAAAAGAAGGCAAACAGAGAAAGGGGAAGGATTTAGCAATAAGAAATATTTATCTGGAGATTCAACATCCATGCCACAAAATCATAACAAATGATAGATTTTAAAATACTGTCTCTCCAGGTTGGTGTGGTGGCTCACACCTGTAATCCAAGTATTTTGGGAGGTGGAAACAGGGGGATCACTTGAAGCCGTGAGTTTGAGACCAGCCTGAGCAACATAACAAAACTCCGTCTACACACACACACACACACACACACACACACACACACACATTTCTTTTAATTAGTCAGGCCTGGTGGCACATGCCTGTAGTCCTAGCTACTCAGGAGGCTGAGATGGGAGGATCACCTGAGCCCAGGAGTTTGAGGCCATAGTGCAGCTGTAATAGGGCCGCTGCACTCCAGCTTGGGCAACAGAGCAAGGCCCTACCCAGAAAAAAAATCCAACAACAAAACACTATTCATCCGGTCCATTTTTAAATTTTGGGCATTCCTCAGCAAGGATTCTCAAAAAATAACAGGCAAGAGTTACCATGCCCAGTCTTTCTATGCTAATACAAGATTTGATTGCAAGGTGAAGAATCAGTCAGTTTCCTTCAAACTTCACTCACCATTGAGCTTTTGGAGGGATTTGAATTAATCACTCCAGATGCATTTGGAGAAATGGCCACTGTAAAACAAAGAATAGATATTAAACCTTATCTAGAAATTCATAGCCCTTAGGCTCATGATGTATCCTGAAAATGGAAAAGGATAATTTCTTAGTATTTTCTACTTGGAGTTAGATGAAAAATGCCTCTTGTAACTAATGGAGGGCACAGAAGGGCAGGGACTACATCTTCTTATTTACAGCTGTGTCTCTGTGGCAAATGAAATACCTGGCATGAACTGGTGGAGTGAACTAATGATCCAGTGCTCTGGCTTCATAATGCAGAGTTGGCTATAAGTATTGATTCAAATCAGCACAACCAAGGACAGTGGCAAATTACTGTTCAACGTTCTTTAAATATATTTTTAAAAAAATATATTTAAAATTGTGATATCTAACATGACATTCACATGTTCAAAGGAACCCCAAAACAAGCATGTTAAATGAAGTCTCGGCTGGACGCGGTGGCTCATGCGTGTAATCCCAGCTCTTTGAGAGGCTGAGGCAGGTGGATTGCTTGAGCTTGGGAGTTTGAGACCAGCCTGGGCAACATGGCAAAATCTAAAAAAAAAATTAGCCAGGCATGGTGGCGCATGCCTGTGGTCCCAGCTACTCAGAAGGCTGAGGAGGATCGCTTGACTCTGGGAGGTGGAGGCTACAGTCAGCCGAGATCGCACCACTGCCCTCCAGTCTAGGTGACAGCGTAAGACCCCATCTCAACAAAAAGAAAGAAGAGGAAGAAGAAGAAGAAAGGAGGAGGAGGAGGAAGAAGGAAGAAGAAGTCTCCATCAAGTAAGGGGAGAAGTGTATATTAAAGCCCTAATGTGTCTAATACTATGCAAGGTGCTTTGGGGCACAGAAGGAAGAGTTGCACACAATGAATGCAGCGTGCACCAGCCCTGCCTACAAAAGTCTCAGAAGCCAGGAGCAAAGACGGTACTAGCACGACAATGTGATTAGAGAAATGAAATGCTATGCAAGTGTCCAAGGAAAATATAAACTAGGAAAATACAGGTCTTAGAAACATTTTCTTCTTAGCTTGTTTTGTTGTACATCTCTGCCTTACATTTGTAATTTCACCCTTTCTCATTACACACAGAGAAAACCTAGTTGAGTCCCAAATTGGTGTGTTTGATTCTCTTAGATTGCAGTGTAAGCCGCTCTTGAAAGTGTAATCTAAAAGAAAGAATTTGGCGGGTGTGGAGTGGGGAGGGTGTTTTTTCTTATTTTCTTGCTAGGCTAGTGAAGGCTACTAGGGTAAACGAAGCATTAAGTGCTTTCAGTGTTCTTAAACAATGTTTTAAGTTTACATTCTTGAACAAAGACTCAAGATTTTTTATTTTTACTTTTTGTCTGATGTTTCCAAAATGCACTGTTCTTTCTAGTAAGCACAAAATTGACCCCATATGTTTAGAAGAAAATGAAGAAATATTTTCTTTTTATCTCTTGAGGAATTAGATGCTTCTTTGGGGGAAAATAAAGAGACCTTCCTTGTGCATTTAAAGGAGACAATACCTGATTTTGACTATAATGGGTCTCTTATACAGCCGAGAGACTCAAGGTTTGTTAAGATTTTGAACCCCCCCCCCCCATACATACACAACCCAAAAGCTGTGTTGTTCTCTGGAAAGAATAAAATAGCTTTAAAATTCCAACCACTGGAAGGCTGGAAATGTGGCTGTGATGGTTGACAAATTTGCAAGATTTCAAAATGAAGCCAGCTCAATCTCAAAGGTGCTTTAGTGAGTCTCTTTTTATTTCCTTTATTTTGGCTTTGTCTTGATCAATTCAAAATTTGCAGAAATCCTAGACGAAACTGTGTGACCTCCTGGGGTGAGGAGAAACAGTCACAGGGTCTCCTTCAATCCCAACGTTCTCTCATTCTAAGGGTAAATCTAATTGTCCCCGTTGTATCTGTGAAAAATACTGTCGACTCCCAAGTCTTACATAGCAGGAACATATATTCCCACACTGATTCATAAATACCCCCAGCCCTTCTGGGAAGAATCTCTCTTGGGAAAAATGAAGAATCCCCCATCAAAAGTTTAAAAATAAATAAATGAAGTCTCTCCTATCCCCGTGTGCAGCAGTTAAGTGCACAGTGTGATATAGGCAGAAGCTTCTGAATTTCCCCATTCCACATACCAAGCAACCTGAATGCAATCATTACCAGATTTTTTTATTTTACTTTTTGTTGTTGTTGTTGCTGTTTTAGCTTTGTCCCCCTAGGAGAGAAAGGCCTTTTATTTCATGAATCATCCCTTTTTTCTAAATGTTCCTTCTTCAACTGAGGAACACTGGAGCTGTGTTAATTTCTTAAAATTTTCTTTCGTCTTTGCATTGTTTGAAAACGGCACACAGCAAAAACCTGCGTGGGAATGGTTTCTCTTTGTGCCTTGGGCATTTGCACTGTGCCCACACCCTTTCTTATAGGCAAGAAAAGAAAACTGCAGGTCTCCAGGCCCGTCTCCATTTTGAGACCTTTGTACTCACTCCTCCGTCTTCTCTCCACGGAGCTGAGCGCGCTGTGGCGCTTCGGGTTTTGTAGCAGCCTCTGCAGCAGCCAGTACACACCCCTTCCTTTGCAATGCAGAGCAGGGCTTCTAGCCCGAAGGTCTACTTGATTGTCTAAGCCACAGGTAAATGGTTTCCTGTGCATTTCTCAAAGTGTTGAGCAAAGGAAATGAAAGCAACCAGTTCAATAGTGATCAACAATTTTCCCTACCCATCCCCTTCAAAAAGAATATTTTCCTAAGTCGGTTTTGAGAGAAAATTGTTTAACTTCTTGGACATTTGCATTGTAAAATTTAGCTTTGCCGAGACATCTTGTGAACTAAGAGCCTTCTTAAATGCTGTTGTTTCGGCTTAATACAATTGGTGCTTATTTAAAAAAAAAACAAACAAACTCCACCCTTCCCTGCAGAACCGAAGAATCCATTAAGGATTAAAGACCTTTAAGAATGGCAAATCTTTTTTTTAACTCTTAAAAAATTGATGTTGTTTCTGTCTTTCCACACCAAGGACTTCGCTTTTACCCATCAGTGAAAATAACTACTTCTGATGATTGAGAAGTTATCAAGGACTTAAAGACCTAAATGTGTTATTAATTCCCACTGGCTTTAAACAGTACAATTCTTACCTGTGTCCTGCTAGTGTCCCTTAAACCCAAAAGATCGAGTAAGTATATTTTAAATCCAAAGATTATTCAAACGAAGAGGACCCAATAAATGTAAAATCATGTTTACCAATGGTAACTGTATTCATTAAAGCAATGTTAAATATTGAACTCTAATTAGGAACCGTTCATTAAAAAGTGAGGAAGCTCAAGCCCTAAATTTCTTCTTAGAGTGCTGATAAAAATCTAATTTTTACTCATTTGTGTTTATATTAGCACTTGGTTAAATAACCGATTTCAGTTTGATACCTGAAATAAGATGCTGCGCCTTAAATTATCACCTTCATTTTCTTGAGCATGTGCAATAAATAGTGTTGGCTTATCAAAACCCGCTAAAAACTACAAATATATTTTATTAAAGCTCTCATACGATTCATACTAGGAATTCCATCAGCCTGAGAAAATGATTTCCTAATCACCTAGTATAGACAAGGGATTTTGCTTACCTAAGTGAAAACCTGTTTCTATGCCATAAGGGAATTTACCCAATCACCAGATGCTTGTCCCTCCCGAGTGGACCAAGAGGCAGGCCTCTTTAAAAAGGTTTCATCCCCGATCCTTCCAGAGAGCAAACAGACACACCAGCTAAGTTTTTAAACTTTTTATTTGCATATTAAAAAAATTGTGCATTCCAATAATTAAAATCATTTGAACAAAAAAAATGGCACTCTGATTAAACTGCATTACAGCCTGCAGGATACCTTGGGCCAGCTTGGTTTTACTCTAGATTTCACATTCGTCCCACCCCACTTCCTACACCCCACTTCTTCCTTCACCAACATGCAAGTTCTTTCCTTCCCTGCCAGCCAGATAGACAGATGGGAGAGGCAGGCGCGGCCTTCGTTGTCAGTAGTTCTTTGATGTGAAAGGGGCAGCACAGTCATTTAAACTTGATCCAACCTCTTTGCATCTTACAAAGTTAAACAGCTAAAAGAAGTAAAATAAGAAGGCAATGCTTGTGGAATGTACAGTGCATATTGGCGGCGCAAGACTCATTACGATTCGCCTGCTTGCTTCTCCTGTTCAATCGCTGTGACCAGAAAGAAAAAACAAAAAAGATGGAGGGAGATGATTAAAGGATTCAGTACAGTCTAGTATAGATTAAAGGGCTTTCATTTAAAGCGTCTTTTCAAATCATAAACATTCTGCAAGTATATCCGGGTATTCCATAATGCAATAAAATACGTATATTGAATATACTAAATAGAAGTACATTTTAATGGATAAATATGTTTGTATATTAATATGGCATATTAAATATTCCATTACTAAATTACTAAAGCCCCGTGTATGTTGGGTGCAAAACCTTTTTTAATTAACCTTTGCAAGCCACATTCATCAGCTGTCGGCTCTTCCCCCGCACTCCCCCCTCCCGAATTCTTCCCGCGGCCCCTCCCAACCGCCCTCCCTCCCTCGCTCCCTTCCCACCGGCCGCTCCCACCCAGCCTTTCTAAAGATGGGGGTGGTCGGAGCTTACTTTCTTTGGAAGGCAGTGGATTTTTCTCTTGCGTTTCTGTCTTCTTCAGTTTCGACTTATCGAATTTCTCGATCTCAGCCATATCGGGTTTGTCAGACATGGTTGCGGAGGAAAAGCTGCAGGGGGCAAGCCAAGAGCGATCGTGAGGAAGAGCCACCCGCCCCTGCGTCTCTGGGCTGGGAACTGCGCTTCTGCCCTCCCACTCGCAGCCTGAAAGCGCTCCTCGCCCTCCTCCCGCTGCCGTTCCGCACTCGCGAGCTTCCTCTTTCTACAGAAAAAGAGGCGACACCCCCCTCCACCCTCCCTCCATATTTCAAAACGCTGGGGACCAAAGAGGGCGGATGCCTTTCAAAGCCGATTCTTGCAGAATAAAGGAAACTGATCACTGCGAATTGTTAATTACGGCGTTTAAAATTAAAGGCAGGCTAGAACGAGAGAATATTGGAAAGCCACTTCCGAGTGCAAGTGGGAAAAATCAGGCAAGAATTCCTAAAATGGAGCCCAGGTCGCAAAAACGTTCCCATTTTCTAGCCACGGCCTCTCCGCAAAGGATGCAGACTGCGTCCGGCTTTCCAGTCCTCTCACAAAGGCCGCGACTGCGGCGGGAGCTTCCGACCACCGCCCTACCCGCTTCGTTGCCCGCCACAAACCAGCCCCGCACACAAAGCGGCAGCCGCACGCGCCGAAGCCGGTCCTGACTAGTCTCCCGGCAATTCGGCAGCCCTGGCATACATGCCTCTGCAAGAAAGGCCGTGAAAATGTCATAGCACAGACCCGCCGCCGCCAGGCTGCACAGATACAGCCCGCGCAGCCGTCCGAGGCTGGCAGGAGACTCGGGACTCGGGGCTCGGGTGATGAGCCTCAGGACAAAGGATCTGTCTGTTCCCCGGTATCTCAGCCTCTCGGACAACGCACAATGCCTTTCCGGACAAACAGTAAGAAATTTTAAAATGTTCCGAGCGGCATGGCAGAACGCCAGTTTTTCGGTTTTGTTCTTAAATCGTCGATTTCCCCACCCCATTACCCAGCATCTAGGGTGTTTCGCATCCCCCAGCTCCCCAAAGCAGCCTTTCTGGGGAGAACCACTCGGGCTCCGCTTTAGGGGATGCCTTCACAGGGACGCGGATGATGAGGGGCGAAGGGCGAGCACCCAGAGAAGGGGATGGGGGCGGTAGGAGGAAGGAGGCAGGGGCCCTGGGGCTCACCGGAGCGAGGCGCACGAACGAGCGAAGTCTGGTCTGCGCAGTGGCCACCACCGAGTTGTCAGGCGGGGTGCGGCGGGCGCCCATTTATGGGCACTCCTATGTAAATGAGGTGATGTCACCCGCAGGCCCCTTAACTCCTTCGCGCCGCGTCTCAGAAAAGCATCCGGAGGCCTGGGGGCGTTTGGGGAGCCCCACCCCCACCCGGGGTCCACTAGTGCACCCTAACCACAACGACGGCGAAAAGAATAAATAAAATGAGCAAAGCACGCTCCAACACTTCCTTCATAACACATTTTCCCCTTTTACGTTCATTTCACTATGATGAATTTTTGCAACAGCAGCGCAAAAATTGCTCTTGGGGACTAGGGCATAGTAACTAACAGTCTGGGTGGCCCCTACGGTGACAGGCATTCTTTTACTGCGAAACTGTCTTTGTCTACTGTGGACATCTCCACACTAGGGCGCGGTGTCCCTCCCTGGAGGGCCTGGTCCGCTGCAGGGGTACGATTCCTGTGACTCAGCTTTCAGACCAGTGGAGTGCCTGCGCCCCACCCCGGGCCCCTTTGTCTTCCTCGCTGGCGTTCCTTTTGCCTTGGGTGGGACGTAAAGCACCCTTAAGTGATTTTAAAAGAGAAAGTTTCACCACTGTAACATCCACATTGTTTTATCAGCATAATTTATGTGAGCACTCGAATCAACAGTAATATTTGCTGACTGTAGGGTAATTTAATGGTAAAACACCTCCCTCTTAGCAAAATAAGCCAAGTTCAAGCTCTGCCATTGACTTACTGCCTGACAATGAGGAAGTTCTTTACTTTCCTCTTCCTTATTTTCATAAATTATAAAAGTGATTGGTAACGAGGCCTGGGTTGAATTCCAAACACTACAGTTACATGATCTCTAACATCTTAAGGTGAAATTCAAAAATCAAACTATATTTTCCAGGCAGCGTTTCCAGCACTAGGACATCTCTGAAGTGCATCTGCATCTGAAAATATAAGAAATTCGGCTAGAGAGAAGCAGTTTCCAAAATGGCACCTGACTCTGTGACTACCAGCGACCCACTTGCTACTGAAAATTAGTTACAAATACCATGCAATGCGCCTGCAAATGGCGTGTAAAAGGAAAAAGACTCGCCGGTGATAAAGAGGCCTAGCTGTGATTATTTCTAAGAGACAAGGCAGTGTGCAAATTATTCTTTCTCCTTTTCTGTGGCCTGAGGAAATGTTTTTGGAAACCCCTTGCCAATCATTTTTATGGCACAGGCTTTTGTCTCACGGGGGATTAGAGTTTACCTTATGTATAGACCCCTGAATGCCACTGCCAGCAACTCGGACTTTCCAGTCTCTTCATGTACTTGACTTCTTCCTTTCTCCTGGGGAGGAAGGAGGTGGGGGTGAGCAGGGGCAGGTGACCATCTGGTTTCCTAGTGAATGCTCTGCTGGCTGGCTGCCTTCCTGCCCTCCGAATGGGGCACTGGATCTGTTCGTGCATGCACTGAATGTCACCTGTCTGGTAACAGTCCCCCCCCTCCCCCGCCCGCCCCGCCCCTGTTCCTTGTTGGGAGTCCATTTCATTGCCGAAACACAGCAAAGATCTTGTCCGTTTAGCTGGCAGCTGCCGTGTACCGACACGGTTTCCGCAGATTCTGCGATTCCATTTTCCCCTCACCCAGATGCTGTCGAAAATCATTTATTTCCTCCCGATGTCTCCTGATGACAAAGGAGTGCCACTACCTTCTCATGGCTTTCTTCTCCCAAGGGCCTTTCCTCAGAAAGGGTTAGGACTCACTGAAGCAATTTCCAAAGGAGGCGGATGAATGCAAACTTGGAAACGTCTGGAGAAGTTTTCCAGTGCGGTAGCAAGCAGCCTTCCACGGTGCTGAGACACTGCTAGAGGGCAGGTGGGAACAGAGAGGAAGAGAGAGAGATGACCTGCTTAAAGGAAAAGAGTTCCCATGATTGGGCTTGACCTGCCAGCCGATCAGGAGACCTAAAGAGAAAGGAAAGGGAAGGGAAGGGTGGCGCAGATACAAAGACATGCAAACCAAAGGGGTATTCTTAAAAGTTGCATGACCCTGGCCATGTGAGTGAATCTTTCTGTGCTGGTATTTTCTCATCTGTAAAATGGGTTCATTGCAGTACCAACCTCATAGGGTTGTTGGGAGGATTAAATGCTTCAGAGAGTGCCTGACAATTAGCTCTTTCTATTGTTGTTATTCATATTACTTAGGATGGAGGGTTGAGGAAAAATAATAAAATAATAATTGTCTTAGTGTTTAGAATTAAAAATTTTAGGTGTCTTGATATTATTTCTCTTACAAAGAGACATTTATATAGTATTATGTATTATTTTGATATAAATAATATATGAATATGTATTTATTTTTGCTTACAAAATGTTGATACAAGCGAGATCTTTTGGTAGTTTTATAGCATATAAAAAATGACAACTCCTGTTGGTTGATACTTTCTAAGAGTCAGGCATTGTAATAGGAGTTTTACATTTGTTTTTTCCTGTATTTCCTACCACCTTTCTATGAGAAGTTTGCAGATGGGGAAACTGAGGCTTAGAGAGCCATCATGGGGTTAACTCAGCTGGTAGCCACTCTGGTATATATGCTAAGAGCACATGAAAGTCTTCCCCCTATCCTTTTAGTCTGTGTCTGAGAATCACCAGGAAGAGTGTGAGGGCTAGGCTGTTTTGCTTTCCACAGCCTCTGGTGGACAGTGCTCAATAACAGTTTTCGTACGGCACTGAATTGTCTTTCTTTGTTTTCTTTGTTTCATTTCGTTTCTTTCTTTTTCTTTTCTTTCTTTCCTTCCTTCCTTCCTTTCTTTCTCTCTCTCTCTTTCTTCTCTTTCTTTCTTTTTCTTTCTTTTTTTTTTTTTTTTGTTGTTGAGACAGAGTCTCTCACTCTGTCACCCTGGAGTGCAATGATGTGTGAGATCTCGGCTCACTGCAGCCTCCACCTCCCAGATTCAAGCTATTCTCTGCCTCAACCATGCATGAATTGATTTTCTTAAATGAGGAAGGTACTTGAACTCAGGTGTTGAACCTGTGACTCTAATTGCCTTGCTTCCTTCTCCCCAGATAATTAAATCCACTTAGTCTTAATGTTCTAGATGTCAAGATGTTCCAGGATAATTCCTGCCCCAGGGCAGCTACATTTATAAGTTGGTTAATATGTGCCGGGCACAACCACCACTGAAGTAGGAGTTTTTCATCCCAATTAAAAAGACAGAGGCATACAGGGGCAAAGGAAGTGCCTATAGTGCGTGTAGATGTCCCCAGTGAGACCAAAAAAAAAAAAAAAAAAGAAAAGAAAGGGGGCCTTGTGTGACTCCGGGTTGTATGGTGCACTCAGGCCCTGGGGCTCTCCAGCGAAAGATAAGTTGAGTCCCCTTTGCTCCTGTCTTGCCTTCCTCATCTCACGGGCCACAGCGCCCCATAAAAGGTGTGCCAACATTGCCTGCACTGAAGGGCGGTTCCTCTCCAACCCTGTGCCCGGTGGAACCAGGAAAAGGTGTCAGGGGACGCAGTTTTATTTTGCTTTCCAGGGTGGGCCTGGGATAGAGTTGTGGCTATTTCTAACCGTGGAGAAGTTGGTTAGAAGTCTGAATTCATGAATATGAGTTCTGTTAGTTTGAACCTATTTAATTTTGTGCCAAGAACTTACCAGAAGAAGAGAAGAAGGAAGAGGAGGAGGAACAGAAGAATAGGAACAAAGCTGAGCTCCCAACTTTTGCTTTCTCAAGGCCAGATCCCTTTGTCTGGGTTTCAGGGCCTCCTACCATCTGCCCCACCTGCCTGCACCCCACGTTCCCCTGTGGCCCCTGCAGTCTCCATCTGGTCTCCCTCACAGCGGAGCCCTCCTTCCACCAACTGGAATCTAAATCCCCTTAAAGACACAGCCCAAGTCCCCCTGTGAATAACAGGAAAAGGAAAAAAAGAGAAAGGATAATTAGTAGGCTAGCTATATCTTGTGCCCTCAGTTATAAGTCCTTTTAAACAATATCTGATTTCATTCTCACCCTATGGAGTGAGTACTAATATCCCCATTTTACTGCTAAAGAAATTGAGGCTCAGAGAATACAAGTGACTTGCTCGTAATCAAACGCCCGGGTCTGTCTACCAAGTCCTTCCACTGAGGCCGATCTCTGCCTTATCTTTTGTTGAAATGTCTTTCCCCAGGACTCCCAACCAGAGCGGCCCCACAAGGTGCAAAGAGAAAAGCGAGCAGAGGGGTAGCCAGAAAGCAAAGAGCAGTGAAAGAACACCCTCGCCTGTACTGTGCTGAGTGCTGCGCTGCTAATTGTCCTCTTTGCTTTATTGATCTGAGGGAAACTTTAGAGCCAAAAGAAATGTAAAGGGAGATCTCATTCAACTGAGTTTCCCTTCGGCGGCTTGATTTTTCCTCTACAACATCCCCTCCAAGTGGTTGCTCTGCCTCCACACAGCCAGGGGAACAATGCGGAAGCAGAAAATCTTCTAGTTAAGCAGCGGGCAATGAGTAGCTTAGCTGGGCAGGCACTTGCGCAAAATGAGAGAAAGTGACAGGAGATAACGCTGGGAGCCAGGCAGGGGCCAGGTTGTAGAATAATGATAATAACAATCACGGCAGTATTAACAGCAAGCGCTTTCTGAGTGCTTTCCATATACTGGGGAGCTTTCCGTGTAGTACTTCCCGAATCCGCACACAATCCTATGACAGTGGCACGGATATTTTCCTCATTTTGCAGCTGAGGGAATCCTAGAGGGATTAAATAACTTCCCCAAGAAAACACAACAAAAGCCAAGGGCAGGGTTTGAACTCAGACTGGCTGGCTCAGAAGCCCCCTCCTTTAAACACTCTGCTTCTTTAGAATCCTAAGGCCTTTTAAAGACTTGGTTCCATACACCAGATAAAGGGAAAGTTATATTCTGTCTCAGTCAGCTGTCTAGCATTTTCATCATGAAGATTTTTTTTTTTCTTTTTCTTGTTTCTTTTTTTTTTTCTTTTAAGAGACAGGGTCTGTGTTGCCCAGGCTGGTCTCGAATTCCTGGGCTCAAGCAATCCTGCTGCCTCAACCTCCCAAAGTGCTGGGATTATACGT